GTGTGCCCCTCCCCGCCCTCCGCGCCCCTCACCTTGCTGCCCCCCGCCCGCCCCCTTCCCCTCCGCCATTTTTCGTCCGCCCCAAGACTCGAGGTAATCGGAGCTAATTTCGCACACAGATAAAAGCCTGGGCCACGTCTAGCGTGTAGGATGGCATGGCGTCGCCCGGCCGGAGCGCTCGCCTCGGAGCCCCGGGGTGGCGTAGTGTAGGTACTACAGTACCCCGTGGGAAATCGGCGACGGCGCGCAATTTAATTTTCGGCCGCCGAGATTAGATTATTTCGATAATGGCGAGCGTGAAAATTGAGCAGCTATGCGAACGAAAATTGAGCGAGCAGCAATGCGCGCGCTGTGGCCGTTTCTGCCGATGCTGGTCCGGCCGGGGAGCTCCCCGAGGAGCCCACCAAGCCCACCGCACCCGAGGCCCCGAGACCGCACCCCAGCCGGCCCCGCTCCCGGCCCTGCGCCCAGCCGGCCCAGCCCGACTCTGTGGCGCACCGCCGCGCCGCGCTTCGCACCTTGCTCCTGTTATTTCAGATTTTTATTTTCTTCCGGCCGATGGAACAATGTTGCGGCAGGACAGGCCGCAGCGCCTGCGGCTCCGCCATGCGCCGCCAGCGCCTCGCTTCGGCCGATACGAGCGGAGCCGAGCGCAGCGGAGCCGGGATCGAGCCCGGGCGACGCGGGCGGGCCGTGGCGCGCGGGGGCCGAGCCGAGCCGGGTCCGGGCCGTGCAGGGGCGACCCTGATGGTGAAGCTGTCTGGCGCAAAGGGCCCCGGACCGGGCCGGACCGCCCCGGCCAAACGGCAGACTTAATTTGTACCTAATGGCCAAATTTATGGGGACGCGTGGTTACGACGGGGTGACGTTGGTTCCGCCCAAAACATCGGACAGGAATTGTGTGCGGGAAAAGGGCTCGCTTCGCCTGCTTCGCCTCGGCGGAGACGCCACCACGCCACTGCCCTCTGGCCGCGCGGGGCACGCCGCGGGGCGGGGCGGGGCGGGGCGGGGCGGGGATGCGCCGCGGCGGCAAACACGAACAGCTCCGGGAAAAAAGAGGAAAAACAACCCAAAAAGGAACGAAATAAAAAAGTTCAAATCACCGACTTCCGCCATTAACAAAACCAATACTGTACAGTACAACACGCTAAAAAAGCAGACTGGTTCAAGAAATCAACACTTCCAAGGACGCATGAATATGCAGATCCCTCGGCGTTCAGTCCGTCTTTTTGTACTTTTGAACGACTGCGCGCGCGCAAAGCGCACGACACCGTCTTGTTTGAATAAAAGCTTCTTTATTTTGCCCCCGACACGTGGCGTGTAAAGCGAGGCCTCATGAACGCGATGAAAAGTACCCCCCTCCGCCAATAATGTAATTAGGCGGCTCAGCTACCTTTCGCCTGCCGTGCCGCGCCGCGCCGTGATACAAGCCGTTTTGCACATGGGCATGTTTTGTGAGGCCTGATCGCCCGATTCCAGCCCCGGGGCGGTGCCGGCGTCCATGCCGGCCTCCACGGCGGCCTCCACGGCGGCCTCGGGCGCGGCCGGCGAGGCGTGCTGGCGCGCGGGGATGGCGTGCTGGCGTGCTGGCCGGGGCGGGCCGGGGCGGGCCGGGGCCACGATGTGGCCGGCGTGGCCACGCCGGGGCGAAGACGGCGAGCCTTTCTCACGCACGCCACGCTCGCCACCATCATCGCCGCGATCATCGTCACGCTCCGACATTGGCCGCGGGCCCCTCCCTCAACTCCGGGACTGCTGGGACGACATCGCCGTCCGATCTTTTCGGAAACAGGGCGCGCGGGCCGCCGAGCCGCGACGCCGCGACGCCCCGACGCGCTACCTGTCTAACGACAACGACGGCACGACGGCACACGGCGCCATCCCATAACCCTTGCCGGTGCAGGGCACGGCGGCACGGCGGCGCGGCGGCACGGTGTTCGGGGAGTCCTCCGGGAGGCGGAGAGGCGCCCCCATCCCTTTCTAATCAACGATACGTGATGTACTGTAATGAGAGGCCCTGAGCTTGCCCTCGGCGAGGGAGGCCCGCCCCACCCCGCCCCACCCCTCTCTCCCGGTCTCACTTCCGAGCCCGGCCGCGGTGGTGGTGTAGCAGCCGTAGCCGGCGTAGCAGTGGAGGCCAGAGCAACCTGCCAACTTTCCTAGACGGGGGACACAGCCACATGCAGAAAAGGGGGCATGCAGAGTGTCGAACCCAACCCTTCCCCCAGCCCCCGGCCGTCTGAAAATCGCGGCGCGGGCCCGCTGGCCGACGTGAGGGTCAACGCCTTTTCGACGGCGCGGTGCCGTCGCCGGCGGCCACCTTGCAGAAGCGTCTCGTCTCGTCGCGTCGGGCCGCGCCGGGTCGCCGGTTCGAATCCCGCAAGCAGCAGCTAGCCACGCTCAAGTGGCGCGCAAGGTCGCGCCCGTGCGATGCAAATCAGTTGCCGAAGCGTAGCGCGGCGCGGCGTGGCGTGGCGTACAGTGCTGCAGGGCTAAGCAGCGAGCAGCCGTTCGCGAAACCTTCGAGCTGGCCGTCAAAACGTTTCCACGCACCTTCCCAGTGCCCCAGTCTACGCGGGCCGAACCACGCAGCGGCGACCCGGTGGCGCCGCGTCACGCACCACGCCGCCAGCCGCTTCTGTCTCTCCAGCGCTTCCCGGAAAATGTATGCCGCCAGCGGATCATCCTCCGGGCGCGCGTCGCACAGGGTGCCGCGGAAGTGACAACACGGTCGAACAAGCCCTGGTCGCCGCGAGCACGGCGACGGCCTCGCAGGGCAGACATGCGCGCGCCCTGCGTCCACGCCGCGTCGGCGATGGAAAGGTGTCGTCCGACCCGCACTCGGCTGACGTAAGAGTGGCGTGACGACATGACCGTCAACAACAAGCACCCCGGGCCGCACGCCGCGGCCGCGCGACGCCGTGACGCTGGTTCGGCTCCCTTTGGTTCCCAGGCGCGGCCGCGCAGCGCATTGGCACTGATGAGCTGAATCCCAAGCGGGTCCCTCGCCGAACCCATTCCTGACAAAGTAAGGATAATACAGACGGCCTGTCTACTGTACGCCGCCGAGCGGGGCGGAGCGGGGCGGAGCGGGGCAGTGTGGCGGGCACCGCGGCGGCCGTTTCCTAACCAGCCGGCCGGCCAGGCCAAGGCGCCCGCGAAGCGCGCGGGGCGAGGCCGGCCAATCGCGGGTAGGCAACCCGGCCAACGCGCTCGCCCGAGGCACGGCGGCACGGCACGCCGTCGTCCAGCGCCATCCGATCACTCAGCCAGTGCGAAGCTCGCGTGCGCCGCGCTGGCCGTGCCGTGCCGGCCGTGCGCTTCGGATGGCTTTGGCGAGCGTCTTTGGCCGGAGTGGCGTGACGAGCTCCACGGCGAGCAGCGAGCCCCGGGCAAAAGGATAAAACAGGGTGGCCCGCTGTCGCTTGATGTTTGGGAGGACTGCGTGGGCCCCACCGCACCCCGCCGCGCCCCGCCACGCCCCGCCACGCCTCGGCGCGTTCCGCTACGCGGGCCTCGGCTTGACCAGTCGGACGGCCAGGATCAAAGGGGTGTCCTCGGGGATCGGGTCAACCTAGTCGCGTCCATCCTTTACCCCGACAAAAGCGGCAAAAGGAGCGGCCCGGCCAGCAGGCTGCATCCAAACGGCGCTCTCTGTCTCTCTCGCACCCACGGGCCGTCGCGCAGGGGTGCGAGAGGGACAGGGAAACGGGAACAGTCTGGAATCAGCCTGCAGGGCGGCCCTCGCGGTCCGCCGGGGACGGCATGAAACAGGCCGCGATGCGTCGCCTAGCGTCGCCTAGCGTCGCCCCGCCGCCCAGACTCCAGGACCGGGTCGGCCAGGTACATCGCGGCCTCGACGCCGAGCGAGAGGACCCCGCGGGGCGTCGCGACGCCGACCGGCCGCGGCCCGACTTGGCCGACAAAAGCGACGCAAAGCGGCGTCGGCGTCGCGGGGCAGGACCGGCAGGACCGGCAGGACGCGGGGCCCGGCGGCGCACTCAGGACCAAGTCAAGACGATCAGGACTCGCGTCACGTGGGGTCCGAATTGCTTGTCCCGAGGGCGTGGCGGGGCGTGGCGGGCCGGCCTGACGAAGAGGGATGCATTTGAATATGGCAATCGTTGACTTCGCCTCCATTCCCGTCCTGGTCCTCTCCCTCCACGCCGTCCACACCGTCCACGCCGTCCGCGCCGTCCGGGACGCAAGGAAGAACATCGCGGGTCTGTACACGCACCTGTGTTCGCCCCCCACCGTTCCTTTCTCATCACATTTGAACCGATAGCCAGCCTTCAAAGAGCGTCCTCTCCCCCTTTCTGGCCGGGGACGGCTCGGGGACGGCTCGGGGACGGCTCGGGGACGGCGAGCTTGTCCAACAGCACGGTGACGGTGTCGTGGCGCTTCGTGCTTCGTACGCTTCGTGCGGTGCGTGAGGAGTCCTCCCCCGGCCCCGGCCACCCCCGGCTGCCTACGGCTGCCCAGTCTCCTCTCCTCTTGGAGTCGAGTCGCTTCCTTCCCTCTCTCTCCTTCTCTCTCTCTCTCTCTCTCTCTCTCTCTCTCTCTCTCCTCTCTCTCTCTCTCTCTCTCCTTGTCCGTGTGTGGATGGACCAGTCGAATTATTGACCTTGGGCGAAGGGGAGTAGGGTGAGAGAGGGCGGAGGAAGAGAAGGAACGGCTTGCGGCGAAGGCGAAGGAAGAGAAGGAAAGCAGGAGCGGGGCGAGCGGGGCTAGCGGGGCGCACTGGACAGGGGAGGGGTGGGAGGGGCAGAGGAGGGTGGGAGAGGGCAGCGGCAAGGAACCACCAAGAGCCGGGCCGGGCCGCCCGAACGTGGTCGGACGGACACGAAGGAGGAGGAGGGGGCACGAACGAGGGAGTGCGAGCGAGGCGGCGCGAGCGCGGGGCGCGGGGCGGGCGGCGGGGAAGCAGGCCGGGGTGGGGAGAGGAGCGGTGCGGCGCGAGAAGGGAGGGGAGGGGGACAACTTGTGATTTTGGAGGCATCGCTATTTCTCCGCTCCGCTCCTCCGTCGGCGCGGCGCTCGCTCGGCTCGGCGCTCGGCGTTCAGTCCTACCTACATACTTGGCGGAGAGCGGAGGCGAGGAGCTCGCAGCGGAGCGTGGCATTTTCGAGGCGCAGGCGCGATGTCCGCGTGGCGTGGCTCTCGCGTAGCCCAGTGATGTGAACAAGTGAACCCGGACAGTGCAACAGCGTGTTTGTAAACAGTGCAGTGCGGTGCAGTGTGGTGAGGTGCGACAGTGCAGTGCCATTCCAGTGGATTACTTTGGCGAGCGCGTACGACGCGCGTGGCGGGCGCATGGACGCCGAGAGTGTGTCGGCGGTGAGTGGTGAGCGAGGGCTGCCGCCATGCAGTGAGTGGTAGCATGGCCCACCCGGCTGCCGCCAACACGCAGCACCACTGCAAGGACTGCAACATCTTCTTCGACAGCTCCAACTCGCTGGACGTGCACCTGCAGTACCACCAGGAGAAGCCGCTGGGCAAGTGGGGGCCGGCCGGCGGCGCGGCGTCCAGCAGCCATGGCGAGGACAACAACAACTTCATCAAGCCTCACCCAGCCCTCACCGCGGCCCAAGGCCCTGGCAGTGCGGGCGCCAAGCGCGACCCAAGGGACTTTGGGTCGGTGACGGCGCCGGCAGACTCGAGCGACATGCAGGCATTCCAACAGCAGCCTGGCCAGAACTTCCAACCTTTCTCGCCGCAGTTCAACTTCAACAACAGAACGCGCAGTCCTACGCCCAACGGCATGACGAACCAAGGATTTGCCGGCCAGGGCGGCCAGCAGCAGCAACAGCAGCAACAGCAACAGGAGTTCAACAACATGCGGCCGTCGAGCGCGGGTTCAGTCAAACAAGAGCCCGGCACCTTTGGCTTCAACCAAGAGCCTCAGCCAGGTGAGCAGAACGGACCCAATAGCGGTTACATCTTAGGCCCCAACGACGACTTCCCCGTCATGCCGCCAGGCGGCCCTGGCGGCCCCGGCGGCGCGAGGCCGCCGTCGACGCCCGGATCGGCGCCTCCGCCGTCGCCCCAGTCGACGCAGATGCAGATCCCCACGTCGACGCCGTCGTACCGCTTCCACCCGTACGGCGGGCACATGCCGCAGCAGTACACCGAGCGCAGCGTCGTGTCGTCGTCCTCCCCCGTGCCGCGGCCGTCGCCAGCCCCCTCGCCGCAGCACTGCGAGAAGTGCGGCGTCATGTGTCCGTCGCAGGAGTCGCTGCGCGAGCACCAGGCCATGGCGCACCCGCCCCACGGCCCTCCACATGGCCCCCACGGCCCGCCACACGGCCCGCCACACGGCTTCCAACAGTTCCAGCCCTTCCGCCCCATCAAGGCCGAGGACGAGGAGTCCTCCATCCTGGACCTGGACTCGCAGAAGATCAACAACGCGTACCACCAGCAGCAGCAGCAGGAGGAGGAAAGGCGGCGCCAGCAGCAGATGGGCGGCCAGCACTCCGTCTCCGCGCTGCTCAACTGGGTCGACAACAACGCGCCCCCGCCGTCAGGACCCCCTGGCCATCCCCCCGGTCATCCCCCTGGCCACCCCGGCGGTCACCCCGGCGGCCATCCCGGTGGCCACCCTGGCGGTCACCCTGGTGGTCACCCCGGCGGCCACCCTGGCCAAATGTGGCAGCGCAACGGCATGCAGCCCGTCAACGTGGGCGTCAACGGCCCCCTCGGCGGCGGCATGCCACCCAGCCACATGGGTCCTGGGCCTGGCCCCGGCCCCGGCTCTGGTCCTGGAGGGCATCCTGGCGGGCATCCTGGAGGCCATCCCGGCGGCCACCCTGGAGGCCCGCCCTTCAACCCGGCGCACCACGGTATGCAAGTTCCTCACCCCCAGCCGCAGTACCAACACCGGCCGTACCTCAACGCGGGCCCCGGCGGCCCCGCTGGTCCTGGCGGTGCCGTCGGCGCCGTGCCCAGCGGCGAGAACGCCGTCAACGGCAGCCCCATGGCGCAGCAGCTCATCTCGTCGTCGGCGAACCCGCTGTCCCCAGGCGGAGGCCTGGACGGCGGCGGCCAGACCATGAGCAAGGGCGGCGGCAAGGTGAGCGGCAACGCGACGTGGAAGTCCAACGAGGCCCGTCGCCCCAAGACATACCACTGCTCGGCCTGTAACAAGTGGTTCACCAGCTCAGGCCACCTCAAGCGGCACTACAACACGACGCTGCACAAGAACGCCGTCAAGCAAAGCGGCGCGCCGGACCCGGCGTCGCTGCCCGTGAGTACGCACCACCACCCCGAGCGCGACCCGAAGCACGGCCCCAACGGCAAGCGTGCCACCCCCGTCAACCTAGACTCGTCGGCCAGTCCCGCGCCCAGCAGCGGCGGCGGCGAAGAGTCCTCGCCCAGTGACGACGCCAGCCACAGCAACGGCTTTGGACGCACCACCCCAGTGCTGCAGCAGCAGCCGCCCCCGCAGCAGCCCATGCAGCACATGCCGCCGCCCCACCAGCCCCACCAACTCACGGCGAGTCCCCCAAACCGGCTGGCAGGTCCCTCGGAGATGACAACGGGGGGCCTGCTGCCAATGTCACCGTACCACCACGACCCGGCCCTGGCGCCGCTGCCGGGTCAGCCTTCTCCAACTCAGCATCCTTTTTTAGGGGTGGGTTTGCACCCTTCCCTGCCGCCGCCACCGCTCTCGGCGCCTCACCCTATCCACCAGCCGTCGCCGCTTCACCATTTCCAGCATATCCCGCCTACCTCAATGGGCCCCAACCCGGGGGGGCACCACCCGCCCCCTTCCTCGATGGGCGGCCTCCATTCTACGATGACGGCTTACCCAAACGGTCTGCCCCCCCACGATTCTATCCCAACGACGCTCTCTACCAGCCACCACCACCCCCACCACCTCACCAGTACTACTGGTAACCCGCCGCTGGATGCGCCGGGCACGCTGCTGCCACCCATGTCCACCTTGGTGCAGTACCCGGCCAACCCGGCATTCGGCGTGGACAGCTACGGTGGATACGTGGTTAGCGCGTCCCAGAACGTGGGGGGGCTAAGTCCCGTCCCTATGGACACCAACGCGATGATGCCCCCAGGCCACGACGCCCACCTGTCGGCCAACGGCGACATCGGCATCAAGATCACCAACAGCTACTCGATGGCCTCGCTGAGCGTGGTCGATCCCCATCACCATCCTGAAGAGTCATCTGAGCACCTCGTCGAGGACACCAAGCCGGTCCTGGTGGACCTGGACGCCAAGCCGCCCCGGTCGCCGCCGGACTTCCCCACCTCGACGGACGACATCATGAGGGAGAAGGAGTTGCAGCGGCAGCGCATGGAGGAGACCGGGCAGCCCGCGCGCAAGCGGCGGAAGAGGCCGCGCTCGGAGGACACCAACGTGAACGTCATCTCCAGCTCCACGGAGGGCAAATCGCCGCCAGAGAAGTTCGAGAAGTACGACAAGGTGACCAACATGAGCGGCGGCCTGGTGTTCAAGTCGTCCATGATATCTGAGGGCGGCTTCCACAAATGCCTTGACTGCGACAAGGTGTTCAACAAGGCCTGCTACCTTACGCAGCACAACAAGAGCTTCCATGCAGGCGACAAACCTTTCAAATGTGATCGTTGTGGGAAACGCTTCACAACTGAGTACCTGTATAAAGAGCACCTGGGCAAGCATGCTGGTGATAAGCCCTACAAATGTGAGATGTGTCCGAAGCAATTCAACCACAAGACAGATCTGCGAAGGCACCTCTGTCTTCACTCGGGTGAAAAGCCGTACACTTGTGATGTTTGTGGTAAGGGATTTATTCGTAAGGACCACATGTTAAAACATGTCGAAACTCACAGCAGAAGCAAGCCTGCTAATCTTTTAAATGTGGGTATGCAACAAATTCGTGCTTAATCCCTTATCTAGTTAATCCAGTGAAACAAAGTGATTATTAGTTTCCTTTGTGCGTGTCTAGGGCATATTGGACTTGTTTGAAGCTGATGCTGGTGTGTCTGTCCAGATGGGGCAATGCAATAAGCTCTCTCCCAGTTATGTTGATTTAGATTGTTCTTATTAATTGTGCCAAATTTTTTGAAAGTTATGGGCCATTATTTTGTTAGGTTTCTGATGTCTGTTACGTTGTTCCTTTCATTTTTCTTGATTAGCGTCATTTAGACTTTTCAACGTTCCTTGCCTTTGTTAATTGATCATCTTAGTTTGAAGTTCTAATTTGTTTGTTTTTAAATGTAAAACTCAATTTTAATTGCAATTTATTTATTGTCATTTTAACTTGTGCTAAGTATGAAGTGTTACACCTGTTGTTGTGGGGAGCATGTGGGGGCGTGAAATGTGTGATTTTAATGTCCCCGACTTTAAGCAATAAACTGCTCAATTTAATTTACAGACTGAATGAATTTGTGAGTGTGTAAATGAATTGCACAGTATGAAATTATATCATGTATGGGTATCATATCAAATCAGGAATTGTAAGGATATCAAGATTAATTAATGTACCTGCCTTCAGGAGTGACATATCCAATGCAGCGTTTGTCATATATTTTTCCATAATGCTCATTTGTCTCCAAAGTGGCTCTAAGGGAGATGTGTTTGACACGGGTTTTGATCACAAAATTGTGAAGCAACTTTTTATCGAACTAACTGAATTGTGCAATCATGTTTTTAGAAATTTTCTTTGATGAAGTGAAAAATCATGCCTGATTTGTCTCTGAAATTTGGCCTGTTTTGAAACTAGTTTTTCTGTTAGTTGTGAACGTGTCTCTCGTGAATGTGTGACTGTCTGTGTGTGTGCGTATGAGAGAGTTCGGGGAACGAGTGACGTCACCGCGCCGAGGAAATGCCGATACGGCGGAGCGCGGCAAGGTGGGGGGTGGGGGGCAGGGGGCAGAGCGTGGGGTCGGGGGACGGCTCCTCAAACTCAAACGAGTCCGCAGCTTCGTCTGCCCTGCCGTGCCGTGGCGTGCCCTGCCGTGGCGTGCCCTGCCGTGGCGTGCCTTGCGCCGTGACGCTAGTGGCACCTGATCGCACCCCTGGCCTCTTGACGCAACTGGCGCGCCTGTCCGCCCTGTCCAAATTGTACCTTCAGCGTGCCTTGCCAGCCTTGCCTCGTCCTTGTGCTGCACGCGCAAGTCGTCTCAACCTTGTTTTAAGTTAATTTGCAAGTTAAATTGTCACAATGCCGTTTGATTTGGTCGCTCATGACACAGTAAACGAACGCACGTGTACGCTCTGTGCCATAAAGGAACGCAACGGGTTCACCTCTTGTAAGCTCTGTTTTTCTTTTGTCTGTGTTTTATTTCACCACTTTATCTCAGTAACTTTTAAAAAAATAAATATATTTATTGCACGGAGAGCGTCCGTGGTCTAAGTCAATGTAAATTAAGGAAACTGTGACGTCTCGCATTTTGTTTTCAATGGCAAGCAGTGACCTGATTGGATGAGTTTTTTTATTTTGTTTTAAGACTGATGACTGATGACATTTTTTTGTTTCTTGTAAATACTCGTGAGCAGCCATCAGAATTAAGCTTCACACACGAACAATTGCCGGTTGGATACCAGTTAGAATACAAAAAATAATTTTATACGATAAAGAGATAGGTACATAGCATGTGCTATGTCTTCTAGTATTCAACTATGAGCAAATGACAAGATCAAAGAAATGTTTTATGACAAGATTTTAAAGGATATTTTTTTCTTGACTCAAAGTGTAATGTAAATATGCTATATTATGTACAACCAGACATTCCACGGCGTTGTTGTTATGTTTGATATGTTTTGTATAGTTATTTTAGCCGCCATTTTCGGTTTGTTTGATTTGCCCTGATCAGAGGGACCCTTTGTTTTTGTTTACAGAAGAAATGTAAAGGTGTTATCAGTGTTGATATTAATCGATAGTCAATTTGCGTTACAACTCTTATAGCAAAAAAAAATATAGATAGATGGCTGTTCTTTTTGAGCTGCCTGCCATGCAATGTCATTTCCTATTTGAGGCAGCTCTTCGTGCCAATTGGTTTATGAAAATTCCATCCTGTGTACATTTAGAATGAAATTGTGAAAGTAATGAATTGTATTGAACTGTGAGTTACGTACTAGTGGTCGCCATGCTACCATTTAGTTCGCCTGACTTGTACATATTGGAACCCAGCTACCTCAACCTTAAGTCCGTAAACCATAGTTCTATTGACTGACTCTTCCGATGAATTATAGTGCAGCTAAATGTTTGAGTTGTTATTATATAGAGACATTAAAATGCAATTTTGCTCGAAACACTCTTTATTATTTCCCGTTCTAATTTCACCCCGCCCAAAAAAAAAAGAAAAAAAGAAAGTTATGAGGAATGAAAGTTAACTACTTGCACACAAACAATGAATAACTAAAATGGTAGTCAGCTGAAGATAACTTACAATTTCACACAAATGCACAATTTGATGAAAATATCATAGCTTGAGTCTCGTGATGGACCAAGATGGATGAAGAACAACGCTATGCAGTCAAAGCAGTCACACATGAAGCATGGGCTGCCTGCCTTTAGGCTGCGCCCCGCCGAGGGCTTATGGGACGTCCCGCGAGTGCGAGAGAGACAGAGCGACGAGAACGACTCGCGGAATCAGGCTGCTGATCAAGGATGAAATAACACTGAAAAAACGATTGCGTGGCCGGTATTTAAACACGACCATGACTGCGGCCCAAAAAGGACACAGTACGCGCCGTACAGCCGGCCTATTTTTTCCTTCAGGTGAAGCACTGCGCCGCAAGAAAGTCCCTTCCTTGAGCTTGAGCCCTTCTTTTACACACATGCCTGCGTCGCGGGGCCGTGTTGACACGATCTGCAATTCCTGGCATTGGGAAGGGGTGGGGGGCACCCGCCGTACGCGTCAGGAACAACGGACCGTCTGCACAGTGACTCCGAACCGAACGGCGGTTCGCCGCTCTGTCTCTCTCGCACCCCTGCGGCACTGCGGCACGCCCCCTGTGTGCGAGGGAGACAGAGCGAGCAGCCTGCCGGCCGGTGCGGTCATTACCGAAGCCTCGAGCCTCGGGGTCGCCGAGAAGTACCGCGGGACGGCGGGGACGGCGCCACCATGGCGCCACGTGCGCGCCGTTTACAGGCCAGTTTTTCGTCCAACTTTCGTCTCGTCAGCAATTAGAACCACGGCGACCTAGAACAGGCAAAAAAGGGCCAGATCGGGTGTATTTTTGTCTTGTTTTCGCTCAAGAGCCATTCAGCATTCCGCATAAAATTTGTACACCGAGCATGGCGTTTTCCGAGATGAGGTATACGGCTCCGTGGCTCGGAGGGAAAACAACTGGATCGCAATCACCGCGGCCGGGGTCTAGGTTCGCTAGGTTCTAGGTTGGGTCACGGCTGCCCTGGGCTGCCCCCGCTGATGAGCAGATACCCCGCGCTGCAATTCCTTTTATCGCTGTGAGTACAGTGGCGGTATCTCGGGCGTGGGGTATCGCCCAATCGTTTGTTGTTCCAGTCCAGCGCTAGCGTGGCGACGGCGAGTCGCGGACCGGGAAAGCAAACTCAACTCCAGCAAGCAGCGCGCAAGCCGGCGAGCTCATCGCACGGCTTGGCTCGCCTTGAACTGGCGGGCCGGCCGGGCCGGCGGCGCCAGGAAAGTTTTCTTACGACGACAGGTTGGGACTGACGGCTTCCCGCGGCCACCGCGGCCTTCAGGGAGTCCACCCGCGCACGGCCAGGTGGCGCGGCACCAGTCTACTCCGAGCAGTCTTTCGTCGCTCTGTCTCTCTCGCACTCAAGGGGCGTCTCGTAAGGGTGCGAGAGAGACAGAGTGACGAAGCGACTGTTCGGAAGCGGCGAAGCGGCGGCGGCGCGCTGCTCGGACTTGGAAGAAAGGGCGTCATCGGGGACGTGCTGGCAGCGAGGCGGAGCGAGGCCACGACGCGGTGCATGTACGCAACGAGCACACACTCGTATCTGGGCGAGAGAGAGGGAGGGCGTCGGCACGGCGGCGGCCTGACCCGGCCGAGGGCAAACAGTACATACTGCACCGCTCTCTGCCGCGACAAGCGGGCCGCGCGCAGGCCGTACTACAGGCCGTCACGTCGTTGGTCAATCGAGTCTTTGCTTTGGGGCTAAAAACGGCTCCTGCGAAGATACTGACACTGACAACGCCGTGGAGAAAAAGGACGACGGAGGACCGCGTGCGCGGGGCGGGGACGACGGCCACCCCCCGCGGGGCAGTGGGGGCAGTGGGGGCCGCGGGGGCCGCGGCGCCCCCCGCCCCTCCGTCCTGCGAGAATCGCGAATACGCTATTCCCTGCACGACATTTCCTTGAGACCCTCCGCCAATTCGCATTGTGGACCGGTGGAGACTGGAGACGCGGGGGCAGGGCGCGGCAAAGGGGGGGGGGGGGCGCACCGCGAGGTGCTGTTTGATTGAGAAGCCCTTTGTGGTTCCCGTAATCAGCAGGCAACCCGTAATCAGTAATCAGCCGTCAGCAGTCGGAGGAGGAGCGCGAGAGAGAGGGAGGGGGGAGGGGGAAGGGGGAGGCGGGATAATTAGAGAGACGGCGCCGACGTGACGTGATTAAAGGTGCTGCACATTGCTGGACGATCAAGACCGTCAAGACCAACGGGACGACGGCGCGGCCGCGCCTTGGGACACCGCGCCTGCCGTGCCCTGCCCCTGCCCGTCGTGGCCACCGCGGGCGCCGCCATCCCTCGCCGTGCCGTGCCGTGCCGTGCCGTGCCGCGCGGCCCTTACCTATTCCTTCCCCTCCTCCGCCGCCCCCGCGACGGCCCCGCGACGGCCCCGTCGGTTCGGCCCTCGGCCCCGTCCGCCAAGGCAGCCGAGGGGATGCGGTACGGCGAGCTTCCTGGTGCATGCCTAATGCGCTGTGTGGGCCCGGCTGTGTGGGCCAGCCGGGCCAGCCCCGTCGTGGCCAAGCAGTGCGTGGCCGTCGTGCACCGTCGTGGCCGTCGGAGATGTCGCACTGAAGAGCAGCGTCGCCACTGGCGGCGCCGTCCACACAAATAGTTTAGGGGAGGAAAATAAAAAGAGGCGAGCAGAGAAAAATACCTGGAGAGGGAGAAGGACCGAGCATAGTCGGCCGAGCACGCCGCCAGTTCCATGATTATGATTATTCACCAGTTTGCAATGTGCAGAAGCTCTCTCTCTCTCGCTCCGTGACCAGTGGCGAGCGAGCGGCCGAGGCAGGGGAGGGGGTTTCGGAGGTTCCACAGCCAAAATAACACGTCCCTAGTGCTTCGCCTGGCTTCGCCTAAGGCGCCACGGGGGGCACGGAGGGAGAGAGAGAGAGGGAGAGAGAGAGAGAGAGAGAGGGAGAGAGGGGTGGGGACGCCGTTCACAATCAGCCCCACGTCCAGTCACTGGACTGGCAGGGGCAGGCAGGGGCTGGAAGAAGGGGGGGGGGGAGGGACGCGGTCCTCTCTGAATACGCCGCTCGAATAGGACGGGATGTTGGCCAATTTGATTGGCTTCGATCCGCGTCCAGCGAAGTGCAAACGGCGTCGCTGGGCGTCGCGGCGCTTCTCTGCTGCCTCAGCTCTTCGCCGCCCCGGCCCGCCCCGCCCCGCCCCGCCCCGGACGTCCACCCGTGCCCAGCACGGCGAGCACGGCGAGGACGCGCATGGCGTCCAAGGCGCAGCCCGGCCAGCCCTAGAGCCCCAACCGAGCAACGCCGCGGCGATCACTCCGACGGAATGTTTGTCCGAGGAAACTGCCAATCTCACGGCAAATTACCGCCAAACTCTTTTTCAGAGCCTGCATGATTCTTCTCCATGTCCTCACGCCTGGTTTCTCGGAGCGCCACTGTGCCGAGCGAGGTGCCGAGTTCCTTCCGCGAGTTGTCCAGAGAGTCCAGGGGGTCCAGGACGTCCGGGACAGCTCCGGGGGTTCATACGCCGTTCAGGAGAGTGCCCCCGGGATCCAATGTCAGCGACGCGGCGCGACGGGGCCGGTCCGGCCGGGCGTCACGTTGCGTCCTCAATCCCCCCCCCTTCTCCTCCTCTTTTTTTTTTTGAATCGATTTGGGTCCGGTCCGATCCAAGATGCGCGTGAAACAGGGAAGAAAAATTGTGCTGACGACAGATAGAAAATGGGGAGCAGATTCTTCTCGAACGTGCGGCACGGCCGGGCCAGGCAGCGCGGTGCGGCGTGGTGCGTGGGCGGACGTCGGCGCGGGGGTGGACATTGTCCGGGGACTGGGGGCGGCGCGGGGCGGCGGGGAGGCAGATCGCGGTATCACGCCCCGCGCCGGATAAGTCTACCAGCAGTAAAGGGGGAAGAGGAAGAAGACGAAGAAGCGGGAGGCGACGACGGCGACGCAAAAAAATGGCAATTGGCGACGGAGGTCCCCACGCGCGCGAATATGTTCACGTCGCCAAACTGATCGGCAAACTTGGGCACGGCGGCACGGCGTACTGCGCCGGACTCGCGTCGCCTCGCCGATAATAGGAAAGGAACACAGCGGATTCGGATACCCAAAATAAAGGACGTTCTCCCTCTTTTTTTTCTTCTTTCTCGGAAACGGCGCGAGAGCGCGCTGCTTCCCGCGCTGGCCGGCGTTGGCGGCGTGGCCGTGCCGCCGGGCGACGCGCTGGGCGCCAAGGAGGCCCAAGTCCAGACCAGTTTCCTCAATGGAGACGAAGACGGCCCCTCGTCCAGTCCGCCCGTTCTGAGAATCTTTCCCTCAGCTCGAGTCAACATCCAGCCGCCCAGCCCGGATTCCCGCCTCCGCGCCGTTTCTTCGGTTTTTGGCGCGCTCGGCGCCGCCACGCCGCCACGCCGCCACGCCTCCCGCTTCCAGGACGGCCGCGACGTGCGTCTGGGGGTGCTTGGTGGCGGCGGCGCGGCGGCGCGGCGGCGAGCTGCTCGGCCGTCAGGGGCGGACAGGGTCATAATGAGGCGAGAAGAGGACGAGGAACACCAGGGGAACACCCGTGACCGATGCGGAGGCAGGCAGGCCGTCGGCGGGGTGGAGCATGGCCAGCATGGCCGCGTCAATCACCTCCCCGAGGAGCAGAGCGGAGCAGAGCGGGGCCGCCGAGGTGTGATGATTCAATGCGGGGGAAATCGTAATGGTGATTCAACGGAGAAGAAATACGGAGATTTGAAAAAAATGTGACGAGCTGACACACTGTGAAAAATCACTCTGTAGCAGGAAAACTGCTTCATGAAAAATAGGCTTTGAATACTGTAATGATGGATCAAGAAGGGAAAATAAAGATCTAAAGTAAAGGCAAGTAAAGGTCATAGCCATTGGAAATAAAAACG